CTCCCCGGGCTGGTCCCGGGCGTGTTCTCCACGCTGTGGAAGGTGACAAAGGGCGGGCCCTGGGCAGGTGTTTGCTAAGTGGACATTGTACGTTTGGCACATTCAGCCTTTTATTGTCACTGTGGATGTCACCTTGTCCTGTGCTCCCTGGGAGTTCCAGTGGAATCTCTCTCCCTCTGGAGAGCCGCCTCCTTTGCTGACAGAGGGTCCGAGCCTCCTGGGCCCCGGGAGATGAGGTTCTCACAGGGGCCCTCGGGGCTGCGGCTTCTCCGTTGATCGAAGGAAATTCCTCTTCCCAGAGGGCAGGAGGGAGCCAGGAGGGTGAGGGTGAGGGTGAGGGTGAGGGTGCGGGTGGGGATCTCGGGGGCCGGGGGGAGACTCCACACGGTGACCTATCTTATGACACTCAAACCGAGCACAGCCACGCAGCCCCCTGTACGGACACGTAGCCGAGAAGTGCAGCTGTTTGAGAACCAGCCCGACAGCGGCGAGCTCACTCACTGTCCGGAGAGCCGTGCCCGTGCGAGGGGACCCGGTGGGACAGGCCAGGGACGGCAGCACGAGGCAGAGCTGGCATGTGAGGCCGGGCGCGGGCCTCAAGGCTTCATGGACTATGAACACGCCTTCGCGTGTGTGAAGTGTCCGCCGTAAAGAACTAGAAGAGAGCCTGGCTGGTGTGGCTCAGTGCTTGAGCGTCGTCCTATGAACCAAGAGGTCACGGTTCGATTCCCCATCAGGGCACAGGCCCGGGTTGCAGACTCGATCCCCAGTGGGGGCCGTGCAGGAGGCAGCCCAGCAATGTTTCTCTCTCATCAATGTTTCTCTCTCTCTCTCCCCTCCCTCCCTCTCTCTAAAAAAATGAATAAAAACGTGTGTTTTTTAAAAAAGAACTAGAAGGGAACGTTGGGTAACACCTCAGGACGGTCACAAGCGAGAGAGAGACCAAAGCCACGCGGGCCTCCCCCAGCAGCGCCGCGCCCTTGGCCGCGGGGTGGCCTGCACACTGTCTTCTCTGTCCTGCTTTCAGAATTCCTGGCACTGTTTCCCTGCTTCCTCCAGGAGCCAGTGCCGCCCGCACTCAGGATGGGGGGGGAGCTGGCCCTCATCAGCCTGGCCTTGCTGTCACTGGTCCTGCCTGCTGACTCTCAGCAGACGGCGGACGACGCCTGCTCTGTGCAGATCCTGGTCCCTGGCCTCAAAGGTAAGGCTCCCTTCCCAGGGGCTCCCCCTCCCTGCAGGGCTCCTGTGAGCTGACAGTCCCCAGTCCCGAGTCCCCAGTCCCGTGCCGGCTCAGGTCTGACCTCGGTGGGCTTCAGTTCCCCCTCTGACAAAGCAAGGGTGGAAAACACAATGCCCACGGTCTGTTGGGCCAGGAACTCGGTGAGGGGGAAGTCATTTCTGTGCAGGGCGGGCGTCTGCAGGATGTGAAGGCAGCTGACCTGTGTCCCAGGCTCTGCACTCACTGTGCGAGGCCCCGAAGGAGAAGAGCTCCCATCCATGTTGCTGATAGGACACTCGGGAGCAGAACCTCAGCAGCTGGCCCAGCCAGTCCCACAGCTCCGCAGCCTGAATCCTCACGCTTCCTAGGAGCTCTTCTTCCTTCTTTTAGAAACGCAAACGTTCTTGCTCCTGTCGCTTTGTCTGCGGTCTCCTTCCTGACAGAGCAAGCCCTGCAGACCCGCGGGGTGGGCGCCAGCTGGGGGAAAGCCACCATTTCTACAAAACACGCGATTCCAAACCTGTGACCCCAGCAGGACCAGCTCCACGTTCCAGGGCCCAGCGGGTCCGGCAGTGAGTCCCATGTGGCCCTGCTCCCCAGGGCTGCAGCCGGAGCCCTCGCCCAATCGCTGGGCCTACATGGCAACATTGTCTCATGAGGTCTATATGGGACATTGTCTCATTAGGTCCATATGGGGACATTGTCTCATGAGGTCTATATGGGACATTGTCTCAGTGGGTCTATATGGGACATTGTTTCATGAGGTTTATATGGGACATTGTCTCATTAGGTCCATATGGGGACATTGTCTCATGAGGTCTATATGGGATATTGTCTCAGTGGGTCCATATGGGGACATTGTCTCAGTGGGTCTATATGGGACATTGTCTCATTAGGTCCATATGGGACATTGTCTCATTGGGTCCATATGGGACATTGTCTCATTGGGTCTATATGGGACATTGTCTCATGAGGTCTATATGGGGACATTGTCTCATGAGGTCTATATGGGGACATTGTCTCATGAGGTCTATATGGGGACATTGTCTCATGAGGTCTATATGGGGACATTGTCTCATGAGGTCTATATGGGGACATTGTCTCATGAGGTCTATATGGGGACATTGTCTCATGAGGTCTATATGGGGACATTGTCTCATGAGGTCTATATGGGGACATTGTCTCATGAGGTCTATATGGGGACATTGTCTCATGAGGTCTATATGGGGACATTGTCTCATGAGGTCTATATGGGGACATTGTCTCATGAGGTCTATATGGGGACATTGTCTCATGAGGTCTATATGGGGACATTGTCTCATGAGGTCTATATGGGGACATTGTCTCATGAGGTCTATATGGGGACATTGTCTCATGAGGTCTATATGGGGACATTGTCTCATGAGGTCTATATGGGGACATTGTCTCATGAGGTCTATATGGGGACATTGTCTCATGAGGTCTATATGGGGACATTGTCTCATGAGGTCTATATGGGGACATTGTCTCATGAGGTCTATATGGGGACATTGTCTCATGAGGTCTATATGGGGACATTGTCTCATGAGGTCTATATGGGGACATTGTCTCATGAGGTCTATATGGGGACATTGTCTCATGAGGTCTATATGGGGACATTGTCTCATGAGGTCTATATGGGGACATTGTCTCATGAGGTCTATATGGGGACATTGTCTCATGAGGTCTATATGGGACATTGTCTCAGTGGGTCTACTCTCACAGCCTGTCAGTGCCAAGGGCTCGAAGGGGTGTCGTGGGCTCCCAGTGGGTCGTGGACTCACCGGCATCTTTGTTCGCTGCAGAAGAGGTGTCCTGAGATCTGGGAACGCCCACGGCCCTCCCTGCCTGTTCCATGCACCCAGGTGTCTCACCATCTGCCTTAGCAGCTGCCCTGTGCCTGCCGGCTGGGCCCAGAACTGCCAGGGCAGCCGAGATGGACGCTTTTTGCTCATGGACGTTTGTGTGGTTTGCAGGAGGCACTTCCTTTATTTCTTTGGGAGGAGAAAGCAGTTTGTGGATGATGCGGGGAGCGAGCTGGTCGGCTGAAATGTGCGCCTCTGCTGCCAGAGAAGCAGCTCCTCACGGAGAACTCCGGCGCAGCAGCCCAGTCGGTGCCTGGCAGAGGGGGACGCGGAAGGGCTGCCTGCTCCCGGGGCCAGTGCGGAGTGCATGGGAGTTCTGAGCAGAGAGGTTTATGGAAATGCTGGCCGGGGTATCACCCCTGGGACTTGGCTCTCTGCTGCCCCTGAGAGAAGCAGATGGTGAACATTTCAAACCCTGAGGCTCAGCACGGGAGCAGAGCTGGGCACCAGCCTTTGTTCTCAAGAAGCACGTCCAGCCCTGGCTGGTGTGGCTCAGTGGATAGAGCGTCAGCCTGAGGACCAAAGGGTCCCAGGTTCGATTCTGGTCAAGGGCACATGCCCAGGGTTGTGGGCTCGATCCCCATTAGGGGGTGTGCAGGAGGCAGCCAATCCATGATTCTCTGTCAACATTGATGTTTCTATCTCTCTCTCCCGCTCCCTTCCTCTCTGAAATCAATAACAATATACCTAAAAATAATTAAATAACTGCATGTGGCTTCTCCTGCAGGGGACGCTGGAGAGAAGGGCGACAAAGGCGCGCCCGGACGGCCTGGGAGAGTGGGCCCCACAGGAGAGAAAGGTACCTTCTCCGCCCCTCAGACTCTGCACAGGGCGGGGAGAGCTGGTGCACATGGGCGTGTGTATGGTGTGTGTGTGTGCATTTGTGAATATATAGGCTTGAATATGTTGTTTGGATTGGTGTATGTATGTATATGTGTATACTAGATATGTGTGTGTGTGTGTGTGTGTGTGTAGGCATGTGTGTATGTGTGTGTGCATGCATTTATGTGTAAAGAATGTATGTATAGCATGTGAATGTGTGTAAATGAATGTGTGTGAGTTTGTGAATGAATGTGAGTATGAGCACATGAGAGTGTGTGAGTGTGTGTGTGTGAGTGCATGAGAGTGTATGAATGTGTGTGTGATTGCAACTGTATGTGTGTGTATGAATGAGTGAGTGCATGAGAGTTTGTGTGTGTGTGTGAGTGCATGAAAGTGAGTGTGTGAGTGTGAATATATGAATGTGTGTGAGTGAGAGTGTGTGAGTGCATGAGAGAGAGTGTGTGTGTGTATGAATGAGTGAGTGAGTGCATGAGAGTGTGTGTGTGTGAGTGGGTGAGTGTGATGTTGACGGGAGGGGCATGGCGCCACCTGTGCATCACGACCGGATCTCGTTGCTTCCTGCAGGGGGCGTGGGTGACAAGGGGCAGAAGGGCAGTGTGGGCCGCCACGGGAAGATCGGTCCCATCGGCTCTAAAGGTACCTCCCCGCGCTGCCTCACGTCCCGCCAGGCCCGCGCCCGCCCACTGCTCTGAGGAATCGCAGACCACGGGAAGATCGGTCCCATCGGCTCTAAAGGTACCTCCCCGCGCTGCCTCACGTCCCGCCAGGCCCGCGCCCGCCCACTGCTCTGAGGACGATCGCAGACCGTCCGGGCCGCCGGAGGTCATGCCTGTCCCTGTGCGCTGGGCACGTGACACCTTCTATCCCCCGTGTGCGCCCGGGAGGGTCCGGCCCGCAGTGACGGTCTCTGGTCCACGCGTCACACGTGGAGGACACATCGTTGTTAACTCGTGGCTCACATCCCACCTCTGCCTTGCTTTTTCTTTTCAGGTGAAAAGGGGGATTCGGGCGACATGGGGCCCCCAGGCCCCAGTGGAGAACCAGGTACGGCAGGGCCCCGGGCTGATAAACTTGCATAAAAACTCGATTCTGACGGTAGCTCCTGACCCGGAGCTGCAGGCGGCGGGGCACCGTCTCCCGCACCCGGACTCGCGCACGTCCTGGGACTGCGGTCTGCTCTCCCCGGATCCCCCCCAGTCTGCTCAGACACCCCGACCAGAACCACGCGTCCTCTCCCTACAGCCCTCTCGGGGTGCCCCGGGCCCCCCTTCCTCTGGCCACCAAGCTTCTGAGAAAAGCTCATCTGCGCTTTCGGGGTCCTTTCTCCACTCCCATGTCCTTGCCCCCCTCCGTGGCCCCTCCCTCACGCCATGGCTCTCGACAGTTCCCCAGTCCACCCCTGGCCAGGCGTCCCCTTCACCCCAGGCCCTCTTCACCCCAGTACTCCCCCCTGCAACCTGGTTCCGCCACCACCGTTGTTCTCAGACGCTCTAGTGCAGCGGTTCTCAACCTGGGGGTCGAACGACCCTTTCCCAGGGGTCGCCTAAGACCATCGGAAAACACATATATAATTACATATTGTTTTGTGATTAATCACTATGCTTTTATTATATTCAATTTGTAACAATGACATTGGGGGTCACCACAACACGAGGAGCTGTATTAAAGGGTCGCGGCATTAGGAAGGTTGAGAACCACTGCTCTAGTGCCTCCAGGGTCAGTGCCCTGAGCCAGGCCCCCCAGTCCTCTCGCCTGGGCCTCAAGGGCTGCGGGGTCTGTCCAGTAACATTTGTATTTTGGGACTGACTGTGGCTACTTCCTTCTTTTCTTTTTTAAAATGCATATTTTTATTGATTTCAGAGAGAGAGGGAGAGGTAGAGAGACAGTAACATCAATGAGAGAGAATCATGGGTCGGCTGCCTCCTGCACGCCCCCCACTGGGGATGGAGCCCACAACCTGGGCCTGTGCCCTGACGGGAATCGAACCCTGACCTCCTGGTTCATAGGTCGATGCTCAGCCCCTGAGCAGGCCTGCCTTCTTTTCCGAGCCCCACCCTTGGCTCAGCTCCCTAACAGCCCGGTCCCGCAGGCGTCCCCTGTGAGTGCAGCCAGCTGAGGAAGGCCATCGGGGAGATGGACAACCAGGTCACCCAGCTGACCTCGGAGCTGAAGTTCATAAAAAATGGTAGGTGCTTC